ATCGTGAGATTGCGATAAATTGAAGTGAGTGACAGCTTTTTAGTGATTAACGTTAGATGAAAGCGCTATTTGCTCGCTTTCTAGGCAGGCTATAATCGATTCAGAATTTAAATAAAAGTTGTTTTACGTGCTGCTAACTGGACCAACAGCCACATACCCTGTAGCTTGCATGCAGCAAAGTTTCAGGAGTGACATATATTCCACATCCCTCATATAAATACGGGATTCACTTTCGAAATAGCTTGTTTACAATCAGGGTTAGTTGCTTGGCCTATATCCACCGCCTCCATGGCAGGCAAGTATTTCAATTTAGTTTAAAAATCACTCCTCTTCATAGATAATTACAAAATAACAAGATTTGTCAATTAAAAAATAAATTAAAATTAATTTGGGTTAGTCTACCACTGCCTACACAGCCCACCAGATGGCACTCGAAGGCCCACTATTTATTCACATCTCATTTTTATTATCTGTGTGTTGTTGTTGTCTCCGTGTACTGGAAGCTTGTGACACTATAACAAATTCCTTGTATGTGCAAACATACTTGGCAATAAAGCTCTTTCTTCTTCTTCTTCTTCTTCTTCTTCACTAGTGGGCCGCGGCCCACCGGTTGAGAATCACTGGTCTAGAGTAATTTGTGCTTATTAGTACGGTTGAACTGGATCATCGAAGGTCAGAAGCAAAGACTTTGGTTAATAGAATGGGATTAAATACATAAAGGATATTTGTGTTGTTTAACATTTATGTAGCTATTGCTCATTGTGAATGTTAATGCATTACTAAGGTTAACTAATGAGGTCTTAGTGTAAAGTGATACCTATTGGTCTTTATAGTTCTTTTGCACTTTATACATTTTTCTGTATTGCTTTATTGCATTTAAATGTTCAGTTATTTTTGTTATAAGAAAAAAAGTTATTAAACCTGTTATACTGTATTATGACAGCACTTTTTTTAAACAAAATTTCAATACCGTGATAATACCGTATACCGTAATAAAAGCATTAGCAAT